CCAGTTTCTTAGAACAGTATCTCAACTATAGTCGAGCGGACAAATGTTCGATAACGTGTATCATCACAGTATAGTGAACTGTAAAATGCGTTGTTGATCGCAACATGAGGAAGAGACGGGAAAGGATGACACCAGTAATACGTCAGATCAACGGAACATGAACACCACAGATGCCATTGGTCTGTGTGTGAAAGGAAACTACTGGATTTAATACAATTATGCTCATTTTGCTGTTTTTTTTTGTTACTACGGAGAAGTTCCATTCTGAAGTTGTCATCAAGTTTATGCTATTTGGAAAACCTATCTATCTATCTATCTATCTATCTATCTATCTATCTATCTATCTATCTATCTATCTATCTATCTATCAATCTATCTATCTATCTATCTATCTATCTATCTATCTATCTATCTATCTATCTATCTACTATCTATCTATCTATCTATCTATCTATCTATCTATCTATCTATCTATCTATCTATCTATCTATCTATCTATCTATCTATCTATCTATCTATCTATCTATCTATCTATCTATCTATCTCTATCTATCTATCTATCTATCTATCTATCTATCTATCTATCTATCTATCTATCCTATCTTAGCGATCTGTCGGTGTCTATCTATCTATCTATCTATCTATCTATCTATCTATCTATCTACGTATCTATCAATCTATCGACTTATATTTCTATCTATCATTCTATCTATCTCTCATTGGATCCGTGTCTATTTATCTATCTATCTATCTATCTATCTATCTATCTATCTATCTATCTATCTAATCAGTCTGTTTATCTAACTATCTATCTATCTATCTATCTATCTATCTATCTATCTATCTATCTAAGTCTATCTATCTATCAGTCTATTTATCTATTCAACTATATATCTATCGATCTATCTATCTTTCTTTCTATCAGTCTAACTTTCTATCTATCTATCTATCTATCTATCTATCTATCTATCTATCTGTCTATCCATGTTGATCTATCTGTGTGTTTCTATGCCGATCTATCTTGCATTAATCTCTCTGTGCATGTTGCCACTTGGATCGGACTGTACTGGTTAGACTCTGGTTTATCTGTGCTAATTTAGGGATTATGGCAAGTTTTATGGGTCGTCAAAC